GACAGGAGGGGACCCAAAATGGGTTGCCAACAAGCCCACTTCTCAATGGAAGTTTTATAGAGCAAATTCATGAGGTGGGTACACAATCTTGAAGTGGGTACACATGGGTCAAAACTATGATCAACCAATAAGATTACACGTATAGCCTCGTAGGTAATATTGATCCAATGGGAAAGGAAGTCACATGGCAATTGTACATGGGAAGAACAAAGACCTTTTCTTAGGAAAGGATGGATCAGGAGGTCCTGGTCATCTACTTGGGTGAATGATGTCTAGCTAGATTTTATTGGAACAGGTGATACCAATTATCCCCTAGGGAGGTATGTAGGCCTGGTCATTCCGTCTTCATCTTAAGGCCAGGCCTTGAACAGCTGCACCTCCAGTCATAGTCACAATGTGTTTTCACCCTCTGCACTGACTCCCCTGTCTGACTACCTAACTTAGTTGTCTGTAGTAATACCACTGCATTTTAGCCCTAGATTATAGTCAGTCTCCTATGACTATAGTCTCTGAAGACAGAGATCATGCTTATCTTTGTTATCACTGGTTTCTCAGATTTCTGAAAGGCTATTTCACCATGGGGTACTATGCCACCTCTTCTTTGAGGACCTCTGTAAAACAATGCACTTAACACATACTCACATCTGATGTGCTACGTGTTTACTTGATTTCTGTCTCTGATGGAATGTAAACTCCAGGAAGACAGGAATTTGATTTGGTTCCTTTTCTTTGCTGGCTACCAAGTCTCTGGCATATATGCTTTTGGGGTCATTTAAGATCCAAACCATAGCACAATAAATACAAGAGCAAAAGTTAATTTTAAACATATGTATATGTAAGAAGCAAGAGCAAAAGTTAATATTTTGATAAAATTGGTATTTTTCTGACAAGTCTGATGAAATTAAACAAATATAAGCATCCGAAATTTTAAAAAGAGATCATCTGTACAGATACTGCAGAAAGGACAAAAAAAAAACTTTAACCCAAAAAATGTGAACAGATGAACAAATTTACAGAATACAATAAAATTGGCCTCAGATTTCTTATCCTGAACAATTCTATAACCATTATAAATCTGAATCATTTTAGTATTTCAAGATCCTCTTTGGTTTTGGTATTTTGCTGTTTCATTGTAATGGGTACAAATATGGATTTCTTTCCATTCAAGAAATGAGAATTTTTTTGCAGCCATATTTTTCATCGGTTCTGGAGAAACTGCATTCATTATTGCTTCAACATTGCTCTTCCTTCTTTCCCTTTCTGCTTTCTGGGTTTTCAAAGGGGATATTAGACCTTTTCCTTTTTTTAAAAAAAATTTTTTTTTAGACCTTTTCCTGTGTCTCCTAGTCACTCTTTCACTGTCTTATGTCTCTGTTTCATTCTAGATAAACTATTTGGTTGTATCTTCCAATTTGGTAACTCTCTGCCACACCTGTTTCACTAGAGTCACTATTTCTTTTCCATGAATTTTCCATTTCTATAATTTTACATTTCACTTCTGCCCCCTCTCTTGACCCTGGCAAAGATGAACTGAACACCTTCAGAACAGGTGCTGGCAATCTTCTCTAAAGGTCAGACAGTAAATAGTTTGGATTTTGTGGTGCACATAATCTCTATCACATATTCTTTGTTGTCTTTTTTTTACATTTATTTAATTTCCAGGAATAGGGATTGAAACCAATAAGCACTGAGATATGTCCTGTCTTTTTTTTTTTAAACAGGCTTTTGCTATATTGTCCTGCCTGGCCTCAAATTTGCAATCCTCCTGACTCAGCCTCCTGTGTCGCTGAGATTATAGGTATGCACTAGCACACCTGGCTCAACGCTGTAGTCCTGTGCTATTCGGACGGTATAAGGTCACTCTGTGAGCCAACAGCAGTACTGGGGTTTGAACTCAGGTTTGCTTGCTCTGATTCTGCTACATATCACCCCTAAATATAATGGCTTAAACCCACAATATATTATTTTTTCATAATTTTGTGAGTGAACAGGGAACAATTGGAGGGGGGGGTCTTCTGCTGGCCTCTTTAGGGCCTCATGTGGCTGCAGTTAAGAGTGACAGGATGGACCACACAATGTCTATCATGGTGGGACAGCTGGAAAGCTACACCTCTGTCCCTCTCCAGATGGCCTCACCAGCAGCGTAGGTGAACTTTTTTTTTCAATATTGGAAATTGAACGTGGGCCTCATACATGTTAGGCAAATGCTGTACCACTGAGCTACAACCCAGACCTTTCTACTTTGACTCAAACTTGTAATCCTTCTGCCTCAGCCTCCCTAGGCTCTGGGATTACAGGTATGGACCACCACAACTGGCCTCATTTGAGGCAATTTAGGACTTCCCAGAATGCAAAAGGGTGAGGCTGAGGCCTACAGTTGGTAGAGAACCACTTCTGCCAGTCCACTGGGTAAAGCAAGTGAGAACCAACCCAGTTCAGTGTGGGACACAGGGCCTGATACCAAGAGGCATGGATCACCGGTGGCCATTTTTGAAGACCAGCTACCACAGGTGATCCTCGGATATTAAGGTCTACAATTCTCCCACTACTTAAGGCCACTATGAGCACCCACAAATTGAACATGAGTGGATATTCTGCCTCAGGTCCTTCTGGCAGCAGAGAGGACGATAGCTTGGAGAAGGGGAAGACAGATTTTGCTAAAGTCCACTTTGGTGGTGAACATCTGAACCCAGGTGGGAACAATAAACCTACCCGCCAGCTCAGAAAACAGGACAGTCTCTGACATCACAGGCTGCAGATGCACACAGGGCTCAGGATTATAAACTCAGTGAAACATATTTCAGTGAAGGGATGGAAGTGAAGCCAAAAGAATACTTTATCCCCACCTAATCACAAGTGTTTGTATCTCACTAGTTGAAGTATACTTTTCTTCAACTATCTAAATCAGCAAAACACTTGATTCAGCCCATTTGTGACCAATGAGTTCAAACCTAACCAAAGTATAACTATGGCTACCTTTTGGCTCATTGAGTGACTCTGGGATATTTTTTTAAATCTTGATTTAATACCCAGAAATGTGAATTTATATAGCTTATAAATATGTGTGTATATGAAAGATTTCTATGTGCATGATATACAATGTATCTATCTGTGCATACAGCTGGGGCATTTTACAAACCAATACTGCTTACTCTATGAGACATAAATTTATTTTTCTATTCTCTTTAAATTTATCTTTTATTTCTTTTATTTTATTTTTTGGTTTTCTGAGACTTGATCTTGTTATGTAGTTCAAACTGGCCTTGACCTCACTATGTAAACCCAGGCTGGCCTCAAACTCACCTCAATGGAACTCACTTCAATCTCCAGCTCACCCTCCCTGCCAGGTGCTGGTGTGTGCTATATCCAGCCTTAATCTGAGTTTTTTAAATACTTGCCATGAAGGACTAAATTAATTCTGCAATCCATTAATGGATCTGACTTCTCTTGAAAACCCTTTCCTGCAACTCCACAAGATTTAGGATTAAATATAAAAACAAGGAAGTAGGCTGGGCGTGGTGGTGCATGGCTGTAATCTCAGCACTCAGCAGGCTGAGGCAGGAGGATTACTGCAAATTCAAAGCCAGCCTGCCCTACACAGTGAGATCTTGCCTCAAAAAACCAAAAGAATGAGCCTGGGATTTAGCCCAGCAGTTCTGCCGCCTGCCTTGCAAGCTCAAGGACTTGAGTTTGATCCCTGGTACCCCCCCCCAAAAAAAAACCCCAAAAGAAGTAAATCAGGGGGCCGGGATTTAGCTCAGTGGTTCTGCCGCCTCCCTCGCAAGTACAAGGACCTGAGTTCAATTCCCATACCAAAAAAAGAAGTAAATCAAAGTCATAGCATTGGTACTTTCCATTACATTCTGTAATCATTCATTTAATTCTGTTTTTCAGATGTTTGAGACGCATATAATAGGTTAAATTTGCAAATTCATTTTAAACTGACTCAGACTCATGATTATAAGTAGATGTAACGATGTAACCACGTTTGTAACATTGAGATTATGAGCTTTTTAAGATCCACTAACCATATTTTTAGGCATAATACACTAAACTTATGAATAAACTAAAAGTGAAATACTGGGAATTTTGTCAAATCACTGAATTGGTTAAGAAAAAATTTACTACATTTACAAATGTGGCTGATAGTCGTGAGAATTTAATTTATAAAAACACCGATAAAGATTAATTTATCAAGGCATACATCCCTTAAGGATAAGATTTTGGACTTTTTAACTCGACACGAAAAGTAAACTTAAAATCATCACCTGAGTGTGCCTAAACGCAAAAGACAGAGATGCAGCTCCCATTCCCTCGGAGATACTTGCATTGGAGAATTTAAAGCCGATCCCAGACAGTGAGCAACACGTGGGCCCGCAAAAGGAGCTAACTACGGTGAAGCACAGCAGCAAATCGGCCTAGGGAAACGGAACGTGGGATCGTCTTTTTTTTCTACATTATTTCCTGCCACCATGTTGCCTTTTTTTTTTTTTTAATAACAGCAGAGAAAATATGAACGCAAGAAAAAATGGGTGCCCTGTTTCTCAAGGATCTGTACCCGAACGCTTCAGGACTCATTCTCCTCCAGAAAAGGAGGAAAGACAAGGGCTCACTGGGATACCGGCTGTGGTCCCCCAGTGGAAGGAGGGGTCTGGCGCCCGAGATCACCAGCGCTGCCTCCGCTACCCTCTCTGGGATGGTCGCCGAGGTCCACGTGGAACCTTTCGCCTCGACTCCATTGAGCTTTGCTGCCCAGCACAAACATGATGAGATCACTAAGGATAGGAATGTCTGGGAAAGAGCCTTTCCAAACCATTTTGCGGCCTTCAGGGCCTGCGATATCCAGCGCGTCCGCAGCAACCACGGTCCTCCGCGCAGCCGCAGAGACCGGAAAAGGCCTGTTTGCCCGCGCTTCACGCCACCCGCACCCACCCTCCGGGCGATACCACCTGATGAACTCCCCTCGAAGATACATCAATGGTGTCTTCCCTGGCTTCTGATTGGTCAGTCAGAAGGAGGTGTGGCCTCCTGAGCCTCCTTCGGCGCGCCAGAGCCTACTAGCCGCATTGCGAGCCGGGCAAAAAGCAGACGCCATGGTGAGGAGTGGGTTTGGGTTGTGGGCTATACGAAGGCCCTTGTTTGGGTCTAGCTTCGGGTTCCAGCCCGTTCCTGAGCCAGGACCTGCTCTGAGAGTGGGTCCGAACGGACTTGGGAGCCTCGCTGACGTACGCGCCCCGGCTACCGTTCCAGGTTCTGCTGCATGTGCTCTTCGAGCACGCGGTCGGCTACGCGCTTTTGGCGTTGAAGGAAGTAGAGGAGATCAGTCTGCTGCTACCGCAGGTGGGTGGGATCTGTGGGCTCGCTCGGCCCAGCTGTAGCCCCTGGGCTGCCTCGCCCCAGAATGCACCGCGCGTTCCCACGTGGCCGGGCGCGCGGGGTGGGGGGGCTAGGCTGGGAAGGCTCTGGAGCTGGGGTCTTTGCCTTGATTCGTGGTTAGAACCGTTTAAGTGGTTAGGTATAAGCCTCCCATACTCTACTTAATAGTGATAAAATAGTGCACGAGATGCGGGGTCCAGGCATCGGTATATTTTAGTAATGTACGGGACTGCTTACTGTTCTGTAGAGGTTAGAGCGAGGGAAGAAATCCGTCATTTTCCTCACAGGTGGAGGAGTGTGTGCTCAACCTGGGCAAGTTCCACAACATCGTTCGCCTGGTGGCCTTTTGTCCATTTTCCTCTTCCCAGGTTGCCTTAGAAAATGCCAATGCAGTGTCTGAAGGTGAGTGCAGGGAGATACTGAGATGTGGTTCCTGCTAACCATCCTCTTAGTGAGCTTGTAATAGTATTTGGCTTTGTGTGGCTTGATACATATGTGATGTGTACTGAGCAGTATTTGAGACTTATACTGTGTATTTTAAAACATTTGATCCTCACTGCTGAACATTTGATAAATATGGAGATTAAATGTTCAGTAGCATACAATTGGGCGAGTAGGGTTTTTTTCCTTGTTTAATACTAAATAGTTTCAAATGGAATGGGAGGGTGCTCTGCCCAAGTTGCCTACACACAAGTATTGTGTCTGGTTCTTTGGTAAGTCTTTCAATTTATTAGAAAGAGCTCTTCTATTCTGATAAAGGCCAAGAAAATAGGGTTTGATCCCAGAAGACAAATCAGGTTCTGAATACTCGAGGACAGGTGCTGTTGGACCTCAGTCCAGTTTCTCCCATGGTCAAGCCAGGCTTTGCAGTGATGACTTATGAAATCTGTCAATCCCCTGAATGTAATCACTGATGTCTCCATGTGTCTGAGCATTGCTTGGAGCATGCCATCCCATCATGTTCCACAGGACCAGCATAGTAAGCTGAAAGGTAAATGAGATCCTTTTGTAATTTAATTAGTCTTCAGCATGTTAGTGGGAGCTGTGTTCTTTTTCCTGAGGCATTGTTCATGAGGATCTCCGTCTGCTCCTGGAGACCCATCTGCCATCAAAAAAGAAGAAAGTACTCTTGGGGGTTGGGGATCCCAAGATTGGTGCTGCTATACAAGAGGAGTTGGGATATAACTGCCAGACTGGAGGCGTGATAGCTGAGATCTTGCGAGGTGAGACACTCCTGCCGTTCTTGATATCTTCGAGGGAGGTTCTGGAAACTTGCTAGTGTGTTTGAGGTTGCTTCTGGGAAGATCTGCTTGCTGGTACCCACGAGTGTGGAAACCAGCTCAGATTCCTTACTCACAATATTGCCTTACTCTTAGGAGTTCGTCTGCACTTCCATAATCTGGTCAAAGGTCTAACAGATCTGTCAGCTTGTAAAGCTCAGCTAGGACTGGGACACAGCTACTCTCGTGCCAAAGTTAAATTTAATGTGAACCGTGTGGACAACATGATCATCCAGTCCATCAGTCTCCTGGACCAGCTGGATAAAGACATCAATACCTTTTCTATGCGTGTCAGGTAAGGTGCAGTGTTTGATCTTTAGTTTAGCTAATTTTTCATCCTGAGGTCAGGACTGGTCATTCCTGTGGGTAGGGCCACATGGGTTGCTGTAGGGCCTCCTGGTGCTTACCACAGGTAGTGTTCTTAACACTGACTGTATAGAAAAGGGAGGCAAAGTACAACTTCCCCATATACACCTCAGCCCAGGCCTTGTGCCTTGTCTGTATTGTGAATGGGGAGACATAGGCTTGAGGGGGGATTTGACTATGATTTGTTCCGGTTATCTCCAGACAAAATAGGTATGGAAAGGGCTGCTGGGACTTTGTTGTGAGATGTGGCAGCTGGGCCAGAGAGTGATTATGCCTCTTTGCAGGGAGTGGTATGGGTATCACTTTCCAGAGTTGGTGAAGATCATTAATGACAATGCTACATACTGCCGACTTGCTCAGTTCATTGGAAACCGAAGGGAGCTGAATGAGGAAAAATTAGAGAAGCTGGAGGAGCTGACCATGGATGGGGCCAAGGCCAAGGCTATTCTGGATGCCTCACGGTCCTCCATGGGTCAGTGCAGAGCCTGGCAGCTGGCAAAAGGTATGGGACTCTGAATATCTAGCCCCTTTGTTCACACTACTTGTTTCCTAGGCATGGACATATCTGCCATCGACCTGATAAACATTGAGAGCTTCTCCAGTCGAGTGGTGTCTTTGTCAGAATACCGCCAGAGCCTACACACTTACCTCCGCTCCAAGATGAGCCAAGTAGCCCCCAGCCTGTCAGCCCTAATTGGGGAAGCGGTGCGTCATGGGGAACACAAATGGGGGAGTAGGAATGTTGCCATTCTGCACTGCTGTAGTTTTGGACCTATGGTATCTTCTTCATTTGGGTGTGATGAGGAAGAAGAGCTGGGGTTGTGCAGCTCTGGTCAGCAGTTTCTACTTCTTCCTTAAATCTTCCTCCAGGTAGGCGCACGTCTCATTGCTCATGCTGGCAGCCTCACCAACCTGGCCAAGTACCCCGCATCCACAGTGCAGATCCTTGGGGCTGAAAAGGCCCTGTTCAGGTACCCGTGAGGGCACCTGCCCACATCAGGTGCCACTGCTGGTGCGCACTGCTTGTTTGGGGATCACGGTGATGGCTGATCAGGGCTCCCTGACCCATGCAGATCTCTGTTGTGGGGGTGATGGCCAGTCCTGGTGTCTGAGTGATTCCCAGGGCCCAGCAAAGGGACACAGTTTCCAGGTCAGCGACACTGGATGTCTTGCATCTGCCTCTGGGAACTGTGGGTTGACAAGTGTTGGGTTAGATGATCCAGCCCAGCCTGAGGCTCATGCTGGAGATTTGGAAGGGAAGGGTTTGAGAGGGGCTACCTTGGGTGACAGGTTTGAAATTAAATTCTCCACTAAATATTCTCTCAGAGCCCTGAAGACAAGGGGTAACACACCAAAATATGGACTCATTTTCCACTCCACCTTCATTGGCCGAGCAGCTGCCAAGAACAAAGGCCGCATCTCCCGATACCTGGCAAACAAGTGCAGTATTGCCTCCAGAATCGATTGCTTCTCTGGTATGAGTGGGAGAGTTGGCCGTTGGCAGGGCTGGGAGGATGGGGGGCTGACCACCTTTAGCTTCTTCAATGATGGTAATATTTTTCGTCAACAGAGTTCTCCTAGTGAGTGTTGATACACTGGGTCTGAGTGAAGCTGAGGGTAGAGAATGCTGATGGGGTAGTTTTGATGTTTTGGGGACTGACAGGCTTTCTTCCCACCCCCGCACACACGTCCAGAGGTGCCCACCAGTGTATTTGGGGAGAAGCTTCGAGAACAAGTTGAGGAGCGCCTGTCTTTCTACGAGACTGGCGAGATTCCACGAAAGAATCTGGATGTCATGAAACAGGCAATGGTTCAGGTCAGTGGGTTTTGTTCAATGATGGAGAAACAGTTGGCTGCTGGAGGTGATGAACTATCTTGACCTGACTTTATAGAATGGAGGCAAAAAACTGATTTAATGAGCCTGATCCAGTAAAGCCAGAAAGGAGGCTACAGTGAACCAGGACTATTCAGGCCTTTTCAGCGCTTTTCTTCTGCCAGGCAGAGGAAGCTGCTGCTGAAATCACCAAGAAGCTGGAGAAACAGGAGAAGAAGCGCTTGAAGAAGGAAAAGAAGCGGCTGGCTGCACTGGCTGCTCTGGCATCTTCAGAAAATGGCAGTTCTCCGGAGGAACATGAGGTCAGTCTGTAGACAAGTCAGCCCTCCAAGAAGATCCTAGATTGTAGGATTTTCATCAGCAGAACTGAGGATGTGCTGCCTCAAGCCGTGGTCTGGAGTCCAGGCTTTTGGATTGAAATATCTAAACTACCTCTTGATTCTACATAGGAAGGAGATAGGTGCTGAGACAACTTGCTCAAGAGCCCAGAGAGCTGGTTATAGCACACACCTGTTCCCTGGGCAAGTTGTGTTCTGTCCTCGGCTGCTTCCCAGGACTCCTCAACAGGGGGTAGTGTAAATTCCTGCTCTGCTTGTTCTCAGATGTGTGTCCAGAGATGGTACGCTTTCACAGTGGGCATGGGTGCAGGGAGGTCTCCAGTGTGCCCGGCTAGAGCTACCCCCCCCAGGCACTTAGTGCCACTTGTGACAGTTTGTTTTCCCTTAGAAATTTGGCATGATGGGTCTATTGTGACCAGCATGGAGGGTTTTTGTATAGGTTACCTAAAAGGCTGAAACAGTTTCTTTTTACGTGTTCTTAACTAGTAATTGTGGGTAGCTGTGGGGATGGGTTTCCAAAGTTATTGGCCACCCCAGGAGTACTGACGGGACAGTTTGCCTTCCTACCCTGACTGTAATGGGGATGTGCATGTGTACACCATAGGTAACACCTCTCTATGCCTCTTCACCTTTAGGAGACACATGGAAAAACCAAAAAGAAAAAGCAAAAGCTCCAGGAGGCTCCTCAGGAGAATGGAATGGATGATCCATCTGTCTCTGTCTCTAAGCCCAAGAAAAAGAAATCTTTTTCCAAGGAAGAGTTGGTTAGTAGTGATGTGGAAGAGACAGCTGGTGGCAGCGTAAATCCACCCAAGAGGAAAAAGTCTTTGTCCAACGAGGAAACACCTAGTGAACCAGAAGAGGCAGTCAATAGGAGTGTCCCCAAGAAAAAGAGAAAATTTTCTTCTAAGGAAGACCCAGTCAGCAGTGAGCCTGAGGAGGCTGCTGCCAGCAAGGGCAGTATCAAGAAAAAGAAGAAAAAGCTCCAAAGAGCATCCCAGGAAGATTAGAACGGACATTCCCTGGGGGGAGGAGGGTTGGAGTGTGCCTAAAGGAAACATTTCCCATCCCGTGCCCTAAATCCCAGTTAATAAAAACATCACAAAAACCAGTATATATGCTTTATTGACATCTTGGTGTGGGCAGGACCTATGGGTGGGACAGGGCATCAATGACAGCCTCAGTGAAGTCGTGGCAAGTGGCATAGCCACCCATATCGGAGGTCCGAACCTGTGGGGGAGAATGGTCATCATCCTGTGGCCAAGACCCCATCCCTAATAACCCCACCACCATCACCTAGCATACACAGCTCCCTAAGGAGGCCAGCCTCAGGGTGACCTAGGCACTGCCCAGGAAAACGTTTATGCTCCACTGTCTAGAGGTCAAGGTCTGTCTCTTCACTGGTCCACTGAACTGAAGGGATAGGTGTGTAGGTAGTAATGGTCCTTGTGAGGTTGGAGGTAATAAAGGGCTCTAGACCCCATGGGGGTGTAGATGGCCGATGACAGACTTGATGAAGTCGGTTGTGGTGCTGTAGCCGCCCATGTCTCGAGTCCGCACCTACAGCCACCACCGGCAACAGCCGTGGGGAAAAAAAGAAGAGAGCCCATGAAGCCAGGTATGGCAATGTGATCAAAGACATGGGACCCAAAAGTGCTAGAAGGCCAGAAAAGATGCAGTACAGCAGAAATGAAAGGTGAGGTCACCAGGTGAGGAGCAGGGAGTTGCTTGCTCTTCTGAGCCACTGAATTGTGCTGCAGCCAAGGCAAGACAGGAGGCTGAGCAGAAGGGAGAGATGGGGAAGTGCACATCAGAGAGGAGAAGGTTGCTTCAGGAAATGAAAAAGACCAGGAGGGAGGAATGGAAATGAAGATGGGCTCCCAGGCACGGAGAAGGGGAAGCTGGTACTTCTTCCTGCCCGCTATCTGCCCCACTACACCACCCCAAGACAGCCACATGTTCTGCATTCACATGGCCCATGAAAGGGGCAATGGATAGAGCAGAAGAGGGAATAGCAGATGGGAAATAAACAGAGGCAAAGAAGACCAAGAGGATGAAACAGCCAAGAGGAGGGAGGTGAGGAGCCCTGAGAATTATAGAGCAGATGTTCTGGGGATCTGCCAAAATAGAGGCCCCTTCCACATTTCCCCACATGTAGTACCAAGGCCCTGAACCTAGCACCTTTCCAAACTCACCTTGCCGACTTTGATCACCTTCTTCACAGCATCTGAAATCATGCTGGAGTGATACTCAAGGCTGTTAACAGAGATGGAGAAAAGCAGGCTCTCAGAATACCACCTGCACTTCTCCTTACAATGCCCAGCCTCCAACTCGGGCCTCTCACGACCTACTTGAGATGCCGAAGCATGTTGGAAGCTGACAGCAGCATGGCTGTGGGGTTGGCTATATTCCGGCCCACTGCCTGGGCAAATGGGTGCCGGGCACCCTGTGGAGAGAGAAGGCCAAAGTCACTGGGAGGCGGCACGCACTTACAGAGGCTGGGATCCAGAAAGGGATTACTGTAGAGGGTAGGCCAATTTCACCACAAAGAGTATGGAGATGGGGAAAGGGGCTAGGATTACAAGGGGACGGTATTGGGATGAAGGAGGAACAGGAGACTTGAGGTCAGAGGAAGGGAATACAGACAAGGGAGGGGATTGCCTCACTCACTGTCTCAAAAACTGCATACTCTGCACTGTAGCTCTCACCAGGAACCACACCAGCTCCCCCAACCAGGCCAGCAGCCAAATTGTCAATAATGTTCCCATAGAGATTGGGCATCACAAGCACATCAAACTGGTAAGGATTCTGTACCAGCTGAGAGGCAAGAGGGAATGAAGACCAGTGAATTCCATTCCCCACTCTACTTTAGCACCGAGTGGAGACGTGGGGATGGTCTTACCTGCATGCAGCAGTTGTCTATGATCATTGTCTCAAACTTGATTTTGGGATACAGTTCAGCAACTTCCTCACAGCACTGCAGGAACAACCCATCCCCAAGTTTCCTGTTCACAGGCCGAAAGGAACAAAATCAGCCAGGAGAGTGCAAGGGAGCCACCTCCCTAGGAATCTACTCCATGCAAAGCCATGCCCCTCACATGATATTGGCCTTGTGGACAGCTGTGACCTTGCTCCGCCCCTTCTTAGTGGCGTAGTCAAAGGCAAACTTTGCAATCCGCTGAGATTTGGTTCGAGTAACAATCTTTAAGCATTCAATCACACCCCTTGCACTCTAGATAAGAAGGGAAGCAGGTGAGTGACAATAAGAAGGCAAGGAGGAGCTCCCCCATTCTCCCGCCTCCACACTTGCCTCCCCAGTTTCCAGGACCTACCTCATGCTCGAGAGAGCTGTATTCCCCTTCTGTCTGCTCTCGAATAATCACCAGATCTAGATTGTTGTGCCGGGTCATGTACCCCGGAAGAGACTTCACATGGACTACGTTGGCAAACAGGTCCAACTTACGCCTACAGAAGGACAGACATCAGCTCTGTGCCTGGTGCCCAGCACCCCTCTAACCCAAACTTACACCCACCTACCTGAGCCGCATATCATAGGAAGCTAGTTCCCCCTTATACTCCATTGGGGTATGGATCTTTCCTGTGTAAACAAAATAAGGGAAGCACAAGCCCAAGGGACAGAGACTAGTGTGCAATTCCTCCAGGTTTCCATCTCCCACTCCCAAATTTGTGACTTAATTGCCTTTGAGTGCAAGGCAAAAGAGACATTGTTATTAAAATCAGAAATTTTTTTTAAAATAATGAAATCAGAAATATTTAAACACAGGCATGGTAGAGCACACCTGTAATCCCAGCACTCAGAAGACTGAAGCAAGAGGATCGCTGTGAGTTTGAGGACAGCCTGGGCTAGCCTGAACTAAACAGTGAGATCTTGTCTCAAAAAATAAAATAAGAAATATTTAGTCTACTGTTTTAGCCACCATATTTAGTTTATGTTTTTTTAATTTGTTTTTTTGTTTGTTTGTTTGTTTGTTTTTTTTTTGGTTTTTTTTTTTTTTTGGTTTTTTTGAGACAGGGTCTCACTATGTAGTTGAGACTGACCTGGAACTCACTATGTAGCCCAGGCTGGTCTCGAAATCACAGTGATCCTCCTGCCTCAGCCTCCTGAGTGCTGGGATTACAGGCATCTGCCACCACACCCAGTTTATTTAGTTTATGTTTAAACTTCAAAATGACCTAAAAAGAGGCCAGCTTTTTTTATTTTTTCATGTTTCTCATAGAAGAGCCTGGATTTATTAGCAAGGTGAAAAACAATGCTAGGTAATCTATGACCTTCTTTGATATTTCCATGTCTACTTATTTGACACTTTCTCAGCCAATACTTACTGAAAATCAAACTATGTCAAACAACTGGTATCAATCAAAAACAATGCAACTTCTGCCCTCAAGGAGCAAGCAATGTACTGGGGGAAAACAACTAAAATAAAAGGCAATAAATACCATGGGAACAGCGTTATCAACATGCATAGGAGCACAGACAAGGAATCCCCTCTGGTAATAATACGAAATGTCACAGAAGCGCTAGTGCTTCAGTTAGACTTTAGGTGAAGTGAGTGCAATGGGTTGAATAAAGATTCCCCAAAATGGTATGTCCATTCCTTAACCCTAAAAACCTGTAAACATGACCTTGTAAATGTTATCCATATTCCTGACATGAAACTGTCCTAGATTAGGATAGGCCCTAAATCTAACAATAAGTCCTTATAAAGGAGGAATACAGATATAGAGACACAAAGAGGGAAAGTAAAAGACTGAAGGTAAAGAAAAAGACTGAAGAATTTCATTTACAAGTCAAGGAACATCAGGAAGAAGCAGAAAGGATTCTCCTCTAAGCCTTTAGGAGTGTGGCTCTGCCAATATCTTAATTTCAGACTTCCAGTTTCTAGAACTGAGAATAATCTTCTATTAATTTCAGCCACCAAGTTGGTGGTACTTTGTTATGGCAGCCATAGGAAACTAGGGCAGTATCATGACTGAGTGAGGATTCTGATAAGTGGCATCAAAGGAAACACTTTCTGGGCAGAGGAAATAATATTAAGCCAAGGCACTATAGTGGACCTCTGATTTACAAACTCAATTTGTTCATTACAGCTGGTCAACTGAAGTCTCAATCTCCCCTACACAGCCTTCAAAGTCCCTTTCCTGTATAATTTTTTTTTTGGTAGTGGGTATTAAACTTGGGACCTTGCACTTGCGAGGAACATCGTGGCACCACTAAGCTAAATCCCCGGCCTTCTCCTGTATAATTTTAAGCCACATTTTCTTCCAGGTAGATCTCAGTTTCCTTAGAAGGACAATGGTCCAGGCAGGATACCTTACCTTAATTAACCTCACACAAGAAAGGGCATTATAACGTTCCTTCCAGAGCTCTTTAAGGGTTAAATCTGTATCTGAGACCATCTGGAAGTATAAGAAGCCAGCATTCTGGTCGTAACTCAAGTTTTTTGTAGGCAAGTTAAAACTATAATGCTGGTCATAATCCAAGTTGTTCAAATATGTCGGGCCAGTCGTAACTCAAGGGTCCTCTGTACATATATTTGGAAACTAACAAAATCTAGTGTGATAAAACCATAGAATAAGTATTGTGGAAATCAAGGCAGAAAAGCTGAGATTGAGCTTATGAAGAACTTACTTTTCTATGCTAAAAATTGGCCTGGCAAAGTTAAGTTGGTCTTTCCAAAGAAGAGAGATGTAAAAGTTGGACTGTTGGAAGCCAAAAGAATCTAATGAGGACAGTAAAGTAAAGCAGCAAGAGAGAAGACGGAAGAAAAGGGACAGTCAGAAGTGGCATTCTAAAAACACAATTAGGGGCTGGGGATTTAGCTCAGCGGTTCAGTGGCCTGCCTCGCAAGCACAAGGACCCGAGTTCAAGCCCCGGTACCCAAAAATAAATAAATAAAAACACAATTTAAAAGACTTAATAATGAATGACATCACCTCAGAACAAGCCATCAAACCCATACAGCCTTCCTGCATAGACAGCTAACAGCTGATGTGACTCTTGGGTTTCCAATGAAAAGGAACAAATACCCAAGTATCAGCAATGGGAACTCAGAAAGTTGATGTATTCGTTTAAGGAGAGAGGGGCTAATAAACATTGCTCATTTGACTTTAAATGACACATGGGCTGGGTGGCAAGGGGCACACATACCAATGATGGCCACTTTGTTCTCCTTCATAGAATTCAGCACCTGATCCAGCTTCTCCTCAGAGGCCATATTCTGCACCTCGCTCAAGTGGTGCTCCTGGAACTCCACCGGGACAGAGGCAGCCTTCGGGGACAGAACCCAAAAAGGACAGCGTCAAGGTCGAGTAAATCCTTTCCAAACCACTCCATCTCCGCGGCAGCCAGCCTGAGGGGTCCAGCCAGGCCCTTTACCTTGAACACCTCCTTGACAGCATGCATGAGCTCTGGCCCAACGCCATCTCCCGGCAGCATGGTCACAGGAAATGCGCCCTCGACTCTCACGTCTTGAGCCTGTGAATGCGGACAGCTAAGCTAGGGCTGGCGAGGGAGAAGGGTCGTAGAAAGAGGGAGGAAAGAAAGCAAGGGGAGACGCGAGAACGCGACAGGAGCTTGGGCTAAACAGGAGCGGGGCCTCGTGCGTACCTGCGAAGCTGCATTTGCTGTGGCCGAGATACTCAGACCTCTCCATGCCGAAGTGTTCCGGGCAGCAACCACCGCCTGCGAGAGAGACACACAAGCGAGATTAGATCGGGGACCCTCAGACCAAACACTGCATGGCCTTCACCTCCTTAGGAAGCCCTGGGAAATATCCTCCACTTCTCCGCCCGCCCCACGCCCGACGTGTCACCAGCCCTCACTCGGGTCAACCAGCGGACACCGTTCAAAGTCGCCATGTTCTGGGCAGGAAGTCGCCCGGGACGTGACGTCAGAAGCTAGCGCCGTGCCGGCCCCAACTTTGGCTCGGGCTAGTGCGCTTCAGTGGTACTGGCGTCTCGCTTGCCTGCACCGACTGCACACTTACCATCCATCTCCACTTCAGGGTGAGCGTCATAGGATACAGAAGCACTTTATTGCTTTATTTTCAGTCGCCATCTTTAACTGATGTTGAAACTTCAAAATAACATTAAAGGAGAGTATGTGACTTTATCAAACGAGGACTCGAGTTTGGCATGAGGTTAAGAAACAATTCCCAGGGCCGGGGGTTTAGCTCAGCGGTTCGGTGGCCGTCTTGCAAGCTCAAGGACCCGAGTTCAATCCCCTGTACCAAAAGAAAAAAGAAACAATTCCGGGGAATTTTTCATTCGAGCTCTCGGTATCCTGTCCCTTTACAGTACTGAGGATTGAACACAGGAGCGTTTCCCTCCCCTAGACAGTGTCTCACTAAGTCGCTAAATTGCCCAACCTGGGCGGAACCTCAAGTGCTGGGATTACAGGCATGTACCACCATGCTCTGCCTGTATCTTTTTTTTAATTGAGTTTATTGGTACATTTTAGATATACAGTACAGTTACATTCATTATTGGGATCTTGTACCTTTACATGGCAGGTCCCGGTTCTCATTTTTTTCCCCTTGTTCCTGCCCTCCCTTCACCCCCTCCCCGCCTCCCCGTTTACAGACATTTTATTTCTATTTTTTCATTTTTTCATAGTTTTTCTTTTCCCTTATTCCCTTTCCCCTACCCTTCCCACTTTCCCTACACCGTTAACCCTTTTCTTCCTATTTCACATTGTTAATTATCTCATTAGGATCTTATGTACTGTTATAGTTTTTCACACCAGAGAAACTATTTGGTATTTACACATGTGTGACTCACTTCACTTAGGAGTATATCCTCAAAATGTATCATTTTCCTATGAATGAATCTAATTTCTCATTCTTTATGGCTGAATAGTATTCCATTTTATAGAAAAACCACATCTTCTTTATCTAGTTTCCAACTGATGGGCTGTTTCCAAATTTTAGCTATTACAAACTGTGCTGCTGTAAACATAGGTGCACATATGTAACTGTGATAAGATTCTTTTAATTCTTTTGGAAAGATACCCAGCAGAGGGATGTCTGGGTCAAATGGAACCTCTAGTCCCAGCTCTTTGAGGTATCTCCATATTGATTTCCATAGTGGTTGCACCAGTCTGCACTCCTACCAACAACGGAGAAGGGTTCCTTTCTCCCCACAACCCCGCCAACGTTTGTTATTGTGTGATTTCTTGATAGCAGCCATTCTTTGTGGGGTGAGGTGGCATCTCAGTATTGTTTTCATCTGCATCTCTCAAATGACCAGTGATGTGGAACATTTTTTTCATATATTTACTTGCTGCTTGTTATCTTCTTAATGTACAGTATTTGTGCCTGTGTTTCTTGCTTTTTGTTTTGTTTTGTTTTGTTTGTTTGTTTTTGGCACCGGGGATCGAACTCAGGTCTTTGTACTTCTTGCTCTTTTTAACCAGTACTCATTGAACACTTGTGTCAAGCACTAGGAATGGACATCACACAGTGAGTGGGACAAGATATGTGTCAGGATTCTTTTTCAAACTCCTAACCTGCCAGTTACACTGTATTAATCAAGTTTCTTCATTGTTTTTCCTATAGGATTTTGTTCACTTCTCTGGATGATTTCCCTAATAGTTTATCCGAGGCTTGAACTTTCCAGGAAAATCCTATAACTGGTGTTGGAAATTAGTTAAAACATGTAAGTGGGATCAAAGGTGAATTTCAAGCTGAATTTTTAAAATCTCTAGTCATGTATTATTTACCTGATTGAAAACAAAATGATATAGGAAAATATGCCTAACCCAATATCCTGGAAGTGTGAGTTTTGAGTCATCTATCCAAGTGGACTGACACCACTTGTTAAAAACTCAGGTTTATGAGTACTACCTCAGACTTGCTCAATCCAAATGCCAGTGTCAACAGGAAGCTAGGTCCTGATCCCTTAAGGAACTGCCCTTGCAAACCTCTTTTGTCCTTTGTGACTTTGAAGAAATAATTCAATCAAGACACATAGATAGAAGCACAGGTAGAATTTATGGTAAAGTAGATATAGAGAGAATTTATCTTCAAGTTAGAAGGCAGGCAGTGCCATAAAGACATCTGCATGAGGTCCAGATCAGGATATCTTTTTATGCACACAAGATTTATGCCTAGTGTTCAGGCAACTGTGGTAATTATGATGTTTTACCAACAGTTTTCTTAGACCTTACCTTAGAATTTCAAAATGTCTGCCTTTGTTTTCACATGGTCAGTGTTCCCTCAGGAGCCTTAATCATGTAAAAAAATAAGGAAAGAAATTTATGGGGCCAGGGATTTAGTTCAGTTGCACTATGCCTACCTTGAAAGCACAAGGTCCTGAGTTCAATCCTCGTACCAGAAAAAAAAATTATGAAAGATAAGTTCCTTAAAGAACATGCCATTTCCTGGTATCACTGGGCTGAATGCTATGGCAACCAGGAATCCTCTGTGCTTTGTTTTAGAAATAGAGCTCCTAAGCCAGGCATGGTGCCACACACCTGTAGTCCCAGCACTCCTGTCCCAAGCAGAGACGGAAGGATCACTGAGGCATGGAACTGCAAGGCCTTGGTAAAGCTAAGCATGCACTCAGCTGCTGAGCTACACACTCCAGAACCAGAATATTCATCTTTAAACATGCTTCTCCACATGATAAACAGTAAAATTTAAGAACCGCTAGTTAAATCCCCTGTGTGATAAATACTTCATCTAACCAAAAAGGTAGCTGGGTGTTCCTTCAGCACAAGGGAGAGAATGCAGTGGTTCTAAACTAGGACCTGCACAGGCTACGTGTCACCTTTCTGTATTCCTTCAGGTGGAGCATTTCTTCTGTGGTCGTGGGGTTAAAGGTTAGGGAATGTGTAAGTTTTGATTAAACGAAAAGTGTGATTGTAAAACCAGTACAGTCAATATAATGTATTCATGTATAATGTTTATATAAGATACTTCTCTATCTCCATTCATATATCCCACGAAACAAATCAAAGCAAGAGAACAGCACCACTTTGCCCTTTCAGACTCCCTAGTCCCGACTTTTACATTGTTATTGACACCTACTATCATTTTCTTCACCAAACATCTCATTTTCTAATTATGTTCGTCCACTTTCCCATTACTGGAACAAAATACCTGACAGCTTAAAGCAGGAGAGGTTTAATTTGACTCACAGGGTCAGAGGTTTCAGCCCAAGGTTGGCTGGCTTCAAGGCAGCAGGATCATAGTGGAAAGGCATGATGAGGAAAGCTGCTCTTCATGCTCTGAATGCAACTCATGGCATTTAGAAAACAGAACAGAGAAAGAGCACAAGGGGAAGGGGCCAGGGACCAGATAGAGTTCCCAAGGTCATCCCCTCGTGATGCACTGTCTCCATGTAGGCCCCACCTTTTAATAGCCCATTCAGCTAGGAACTCATGAATAGGTTAACCCACTGATGAGCTTAGCAATTTTGTAATCCAGTCATCTTTCTCTTAATTCAGTCAAGTTGATAATTGAGATTAATTGGCACACTCCTGGAAAAAAATGGGAGATTTCTCTTTTTAAAAAAATTTTTTAAATTTACTTCAGGTCATTTAGAATAGATGTCTTAGTTATTTTCTCTTTGCTGAGATATAATACCTAGCACAAACTGTAAGGAGGAGAGCTTTATTTTGGCTCCTGGTTTGTAGAGGTTTGAGTCCATAGTCCACTGGCTCCTAGGCAGGGCAGCATGGAAGAGGGACGTGACAGAGAAGGTAGAGCAGCTAAGCTGTCCTCTGCTCCATCCTTACAGACCTCACCTTTACCAGTTTCATGACAGCAGGCAGCAGAGTAAGACCAAGGGAAGAGTGTGGAAGAGCCACACCACCAGTGACCCACCTGCCCTGACTGGGATTTACCTCCCAGCATTATATTTAGCTATGAACTCATCCTTGGCAAATTCACTGATGAGTGTCACATGACTGAAATAGCACCTGTGAGCCCATGAGGCTTTCAGGGGACATCTAGATATAAACCAAAACAGTGGGAAAGAGAAAAGATGTGCTATGTTTTTCCATTCTCTGTTAATGACCTAATTTTCATTCTAAAAATACTAATTTACTTGAGGATAACTATGACATCATTTCCAACCCTAAATTCTGAACCCAGCCTAACACTAAAAAATATTGGTTGATATAACACTGCATAGCTGTCACCACAATAAAAGAGATGGAGGTAAGTTACCAGGTGACCCAGGCCAAGGGGGTGAGACTATTATTGTCTGAAGGCCATTGTGTTCTGTGAGCTCAGCTAGTTCTCCTGGCCTTTGAATCCCATGAAGGTCTCAGAATGGGAGAGTCAAGTCAGCACCTTGGAAAAGTTCCTTAACCAATCTCTTAAGTTATGGGGAGGACTGAAACCATTTTGTTACCTTCTGATTATTATGGAGCCTCCTCTAGTTAGCACCAGAGGCCATAGCAAGGAGGGATCAGCCCCTATATGAGTGTTCATTGTGAGACTGAGTGAATTGAATGTCAGTTTCCTAGGCCTATGAATCCCCCAGCACATGGGTCCTGATATAGGGTCCACAGAGCCCCATATGACCATGAATAGAAATCAGTACTGTGGTCCGGTGTGGAGGCACACACCTGTGATCTCAGAAAACAGAAGGACTATGAATTCAAGTGCAGCCTAGGCTACACAGTGTGTTCAAAATTGGCTTCAACTACATAGTAAGACCTCAATTACCTGTCTAACACCAGAGTTGGTTTCCATATTCTTGGTGAACAAAGTATAAACACAAGAAAAAAAAAGGAAGATGAAGAAAAGAAGGAAAGAAAAAGAAATCAATACTGTGATTCTATGTAGTAAAAATCCAAAAGTCATAACTTTATTCTCATTAACCCCTAACTGAAATCTAGCATTTCCTTTAATCTTACATGGAGATCACAGTGCAGCCTGTAAACTGCTTGATTTTATCACTAATAGAAATTACTGTATATATATTTTCAAATTACGTTTCAATTACAACAGATATTTTAAAGTATAGTTTTCTCTCATCTCTACTGTGATATTATTGACTCAATGCTAGATCATGTTTTTTAATACGGTAATGAAGCACCACACATATCATTATATTACAAGGTAGCTTTCTTATCACCATATGTCACATCATGGTTTTTCTTTTTGTCTTATTTCCTTTATAAACTTAGAGGCCTTCTCTGAGAAGGTATCCACAGGCTTCAGCAGTCTTCCAAAGAAGTTGGTGGCACACAGAGGGTTAAGAATTTCATCCGTGTTAGGCCTACTGGGTCTTTTTCTATCACCATGAGCAAAGAGTAACAGGCTGGAGATGTAGCTAGTGGTATGATGCCTGTCTAGCAATGCAAGGCCCTGGGTTCAATCCTCAGTACCAAAAGTGGGGGGATGGTAATATAATAAGAGACAATTCCTTGAAGTATGAGAAATATTCTTTTTTTCAGGGGGCTATACTAGGGTTCGAACCCAGGACCTTGTACTTGCAAGGCAGGCATAGTGCCACTGAGCTAAATTCCCAGCCCATGAAAAATATTCTTAAAAGAGGAAGAATTTGATCTGGGACTGAAGGATAAACAGGATTATAAAGAACAGGTGACTCCATTTGAAGGGAAAATAGAAATTTAAGAAAAGGTGCTGTCTTAGGTTAAGTTCCCTGGAAGCAGAGGCCAGGAGGATTTCTTATGCAAGTGACTTACATGTGGCATGTTCTCAGGAGGAAGGCCACGTGGCCCCAGCCTGAGCCTACCTTGGCCCATTATCCTGAGGCGCTCTGGTGAATGAGTGAGGACTCAAAGTTGTCCAAATTTGGGACAAGACTTACTACCTTTCTTCAGCCTGGCATGGCATAAGCCAGAGACATTACTCCTCTAGAGGAGGAAGTTGTGAGCACTTAACTTGCAGCAGTTGGGAGACCAGGTGGAGCAGCTCAGGAAGGTCTGAACAAAGCAGCTACAGTACTACCTTGTGACTGTGAGAATAAACACGCTGTCTGAGAAACAATGAGAAGAGCGGATGTGTGAAGAAATGAGGTATACATAGTGAGGAGCATTGAGGAACTAAATCTAAGGCTAAGAAGAGTGGAGAGATGTGTGAGCAATACCAGGTGTCCTGTGGAAGTTGGTAACCGTGAAACTGGTACCATTGTGTGTGATAGAAACAATGAGAAGAGCGGATGTGTGAAGAAATGAGGTATACATAGTGAGGAGCATTGAGGAAGTAAATCTAAGGCTAAAGAATGGAGAGATGTGTGAGCAATACCAGGTATCCTGTGGAAGTTGGTAACCGTGAAACTGGTACCATTGTGTGTGGTTCCATGGGGGAAAGAAAACATTTAGCTTCATCTAAAACTGATGTTTTGTCAGAGAGTGGTACAAAGGACTTGAGAGTGCTGGTAAAATGGTATCAGGAGGTAAGAGAAGATAGCCAGAGGAAATGTAATGGGCGAGTAAAAAGAATCAAAGACCCTAAAGTATTCAAAGATTATTACTTGTGGGAGTTGAACAAGTAAGATGGTTCCACCAGCACTTTTGGAGGTGGACCAGATGCCTGAGGTAACAAAGTCCCAGATGGAATTATGGGAGTGGGTGCCAAGGAGATTTGGCATATGAGGACTCAGACCCACAGTTTTGAATGGGTCACCCTGATCACTGTGCGTGTGAGCCAGCATAGTGGCCTTGGATGAGGTGAGGGAAAGATCTAAAAAAAAGGTCCCTGTCTTGGTAAGCTAGAGAGACCAGCATGCAGAGGGGGTTGAAATAGAGAAAGGTGGTATCAATGACTGGGAAGAACCCCAAAGAGTTGAACTCCTTTTTTTCTATTAATTTATTGCCACACATTTGTGGTACATAATGTTTACATCCCATGTATGAAGTTGGTACGTGTACATAACTCATCTTCATTCATTTTTTTCATCCTCTTTCTCTCCCCTCCTTCCTCCCACCTACCATCCATCTCTTGATCTCCCTTGCATTTGAGAAAGCTCTATCTCCCTACTTCCTATTAGTTTCAATGTAAAATTCTGCTTAAATATTTAAAATTAGACATTAAGTAAATGATAACAACCTTTTTAAAAATATAAATTATAAACAAGGCCAAAGTTTCTTACTACTTCAACAATAGCCCTCAATTCTTTTACCTTGTCCTCAGAATCAGTTATCACCTTCAAAAGCTTTTCTCTGCTAATGTGCATGCACCAGCGCAAACACACTATTTCTAAGAGAGTATAGCATTTAATGTATGGCAGGTGTTTCAGAATAAATGATTTTACACTCTATATGCTCACTATTCCATAATTTACTTTTCATTCAAAACTTATCTTAGATGTCTTAGACATCTGAGAGACACCATATCTGAGACAGTAAGCAGACCTGTTCTTTTGTTCTGCTGCATAGTATACTAGAATATGAAAGAAAAACCCTGACCTTTTCTTCTTTTCAGAAATGTAAAAGCTTTCCCAGAAACATTCCTAGCAGATTTTTTTTTAATTGAGTTTATTGGTACATTTAGGGATACAGTACAGTTACATTCATTGTTGGGATCATGTACCTTTACATGGCAAGTCTTGATTCTCATTTTTTCCCCTCCTAGCAGATTTCTTAGGTATCACAGGTCATAACCAAATATGTGACCATTTCCACTTTAAGGGGAGCTGGAAAAAGGGGAAGAGTTTTGTCCAGAT